TAATGGGTGGACATGACATATCAGAATGGATCCCGGCGGCTTGCCTGTCGATTCCTGAATATTTCAGGCAGCAACAAACAATGCTTCGATGGGACGTGCTCTAGAAAGTCTAGACAAGCTTGCTTACTTGGTAAAAAATGGGGAGTGTTAGGTATCGAAATGTAATTTTCACAGTATGTTCACTTTTTGGCCAATGAAATCGTGCCATGTGTGCATATTTTTTTAATTAATAGTTGTAAATCATCTATTAGGAGGAACGTTACTGAATTACTAGAGCCGTGTGGGATATATTGGATGGGATTGTATGATGAGGATCTAGAAGGTGGGTGTTGAGTGGATGATTAGGTTAATGCGTGGTGGGGTCTAGATGTACAAAGTGCCTGCCCAATACGACACCAGCTAGGCTCCGTCGTTCTCTTCTTAGGAGGTGGGTTTTGACTTGTTTCCCCGACCCTGGTCTGGTTAAGGTACACGTTTTAATTTAATTCGAGTAGCTTTGCCCAATTTTGAAAACAAGGTGCAGACATTTGTTGACTCACTTGATTACCCAAACTTATCCACAGCCTGTCAGGTTGCTCTCAACATTATTCTGCATATCTAAGTTCATGGATTATGAGTTGGATTATCTCTTTTCTATTTTATCTTTTTCATACCTAGTAGGTAGGGAACTATTGTATATGGCCTTGGGGCAAATATAGATGTTACACTCAATTCTCTATTTTAAAGAGTTAATTCTTAAAAATCTATATCTAATAAGCTCTCTATTTAGATAGAAAGTCTAATTTGATTCTTTACATTTGGTGCGTCAAACTCACATTCTATTTGATCATTAATAAATGATATGAACACATCTATACTTTTTAATTAAATAAAAGACTATTCTCCCAATTAAAATAGAGAGTTTATTGGAGTTGTCTAAAGTAATTTCATCTCTATTTCAAATTTTTATCAAAGATGCTCTCTATTTTAAAAAAAAATTCTCTCCAAAATAAAGAGTACTATCGGAGATGATGTTAGATACTCAAATATGTCTTTTGTACTCTTTTTTTTTTCTTAATCTCAATTTATATTTAGCAAAAAAAAAAAAAAACCACATATTTAACTGATCTCCTCGCAAGATTTCTTGTGGATTCAACTTTTTTTTTTTTACTTGTAGTTTGTGCTAGATTTTTGTGACCTCCCACAGCCGCCAAGGTTTTAATTTGGTGGGTTAATCACACTAAATCTCTTTGAGCTATGGGCTATTTTCTCCTTTTTAATTTTGCCCTATGAATTATTGATTTAAATACTTGTATGACCAACTACTCAAATTCATGATATTGAACACTAATAAATTTTGAGCAATGCTATATATGCTACACCAAATTTGTGCACCAAATGGACATGAGCTGTTGGATGACAATGTGGCCCACCAGCTCATATTGAATTGGCGCACAAATTTGATACAAAATTTTGGTGTACATAACATTTTTTTTTAATTTTTGGACTTGGGTGAAGTAGTTCGCATGGATTATTTTTATCTAATGTTTAATAATTTGTTTAAGGTGTTACTTGTTTGAATAGTCAAGGATGTAATAGGTTTAAATTACTTTAAAATCAAGATCATAATTTAAAAGAAGAACAAAGTGTGATTAATCTTTTAGATTTTGTTGACTGTCATTTTTGTTTCTTGTGTTGTTTATTTTATGCTATCTATCTATTTGAGATGAGAAGGCGTACCACCTCCTTTTATCAAGTAATCCTATTTAGACCTAAAAATTTGATCTAATTTGTTGACATAATGATATGGTTTCAATTATCAACACCAAATTTCAATGTTTAATAGGTCCCACAGTTAATTCAAAAATCATAGTGAATTAGATCAATAATTAGATCCCAATAACATTGCTCCCTTTTACCATCATAGCAAGATGTTCAAACGGACAATTGAATGGTCCTATCCTCTCCATTCATTCCTGTCACGTTTCTTCTAATTTGGGCAAAGTTGAATGGCGAGAAGAGATTAGACCGATTGCCACATTTTTCGGTTTGTTTTGTTTTTTGGTAGCCTACTAATATTTAAGGTTGCAATTATCAGGAATTTTTATTTTCTTTCTCATTTTTTTTGGGAAAAAAATAAATATCAAATGAAAGATAAACGGCTAACCTTTGTGTATTACCTCAATCAATCGAACTTGCGTTTTTCACTTTTTTTAATTCATGTTTGTAATATTGTTGGGACACCCACGTGTAAGAATCCTATATCGAATAGAAAAAGAATTGAAAAAGTCTAATTATTGTTTAAATAGGATTATTAGTGACCAAATCAAATAAAAAATAAATTGAAAAAAGTTTTAATATATTGTTACTGAACATAAATATCACGCTGTATCTGAATAGATTTGGATTACAATATCGATGTAATTTTTTGGTCCGTTGGTATAAGTAGAATATACCAAAGTGAATAAATTGTATTGAATCAAGTTATATTTTATTATTTTTCCTATCTTAAAATTTTATTTTTCAATATATGGTATTATTATTAATTATCCGTTGTATCAAACTAACAAATATAAATTTTATATGATTAAAAATTTGACCATGGTATAGAAAAATTTATGTTCAATATTATACTCGAGTTAATCCAAAATAAGAGAAATTTTATGCCTCAATCTAATTAGGTTATAACAAAATATAATTATTTTTGTTATAACTCTATTGTATTCAACTGTAATTCGATTCGGAGAAAATAGTTATCACTTTCGATGTGCCGGAATAGGATTGAGTTATTGGCAATGGATTGTTATATTTAGATGTTTGTTCTATATCAGTAAAACCGATCTTGCAAAATTCTTGCAGTTTGTCGTTTTCCAAAGTAAATCTGTGGCTTCTAATTATGGAAATAGAAAAATTGGAAAAGGAGAAAAAAAAAAAAAAAAAAACACACAAATGTTTGCCGACCAGCCTTCTAGAATCTGCAATAGGTCTTGTCATGCGAGCATGATTACAATTCCTTCTAGAAGATAGGAACATTACTGTTTTATCATTATATATATTTGAGTAAATTACATTTTATCCCCTAAACTATTATCTTTATTTTACTTTGTATCTTTAATTATAAAATTTTTCACATTCTACCCTAATATATAAATTTTATTTTATATCACTCCAATAGATAATAATTGTCAATTTTTTGACGGTAAGTATGCATGTAAGTGGTCTGTATTGTGAATATGCAACTGCCTATATAACACATGCGCAGGTCAAAAATTAAGAAAAATATTCATTCATGACTTTATTTTTTTTAAGTTTAAAATTTTTTACATTCTTTTTCTTCTAGAAACTATTTGGTTGCAAAACAAGTAAAATAAAGTGGTATTAGGCATTGGAAGGAAAGCTCTTTGGGATTTTCTTCCGTCCTTGAATAGATTTTCAATTTTTCCTTTATCTAATAGAGTGATATGAAATAAAATTGATACTTTAAGGTGTAATGTGAAAAATTTTATAATTGAGGGTATAAAATAAAATAAAGATAAAAGTTCAAGGGATAAAGTGTAATTTACTCTATATATTTCCAGTCGCCACAGGTCATTTTGGCCTCAATTATTCAAAGCACATATATTAGCGCACCCCAAACATTTTAAAGTGTCAAAGAAGACAGCCCACCACCATCCTTCCTTCCTTCTTTTAATGTATTTCTCTCATGCATCTTTATGAGTTCTTCTTCTCTCTCTCTCCCTCTCTGTTAGATATCAGTTGTTTTTTTTTTTATTTTTTGTGATTGATTTTAATGCTTTCTTCTTGGGGAAAAAAAGAGACAGAAATGGCTAGGAGGAATGTCTTTGATGTATGTCCTTTCTTGCTCTTTGAAGTCACCGGTGATTCGGAGGTCGATTCCGATCTGAATATGGTTGGTACAATAATTGAAGAAGATCGAGTTGAAGTTGCTGAGGATGATGCAGAATCATGCAGTTGTGAGTTAGATGATGATGTACGCCTTAACGAGTTCGACGATTCTGATCATAATCGAGAACATGATCATGGCAATGATCATCTCCACGAAAATGATAAGGAGGCTGCGGAGAAGGAGGAAGGAGAGGTCATTAATCAAGATTGGACTGGTGATAAGGGAGTGTTGTCCAGCACCAACAGTATCTCGAAATTTGTGATGGCAAGGAAACGCAAGAAATCCGAGGTTTGTGTTGATAAAACGTTGGAGGTGATGAATCAGAGGGACAGGGATAGACTCTTCTGGGAGACCTGCTTGGCATCTTGAGTAGGGAGTTAGGGACTAGTATTACCTTTTTTATTTTTTTTCCTTTTTTTGATTTACAAGAATTGTGACTACAAGTTTTGTCAAATTTTTTTTTTTTTTTTGGGTTCGTATGATCAATGTTTCGTGAAAGACAACTCCTAAACTCAGAGACTTGCGGTTTTTACATGAGGTATCGGAATTATATGCCTTTGTTGTTACTGCTGCTGCTGCTTAATTTTGAATGCATATTCTGATTGTTAGGTCTATGCTATAGACTTTGTTGGGTCCAACTCTTCTGAGAGTGACTAGTTTTTTTTTTGATAAATTGAGAGTGACTAGTTGATGTACAATTATTCTTCTGGTCTTTCCTTCTTTTTTTCCCTTTCTTTCTTACTTACGCGTGAAATCCGGGAATGAAATGGTTTGAATCATTCAATTATATTTACTTTTATCAGAATGGTTTGAATGTATTCAATTTAGTCCACAAACCATGACACAATTATATGATCATATTTTGATTTTCCCCTAGTTTATAGTCTTAATTGGACTATGTCCAACACTATCTATAATACAAGGATCAACGGCTAGAATAGGTCACATTTTAAATCAATGGTATCAAGTATTTTGGCGTACATATCGAAAAAATATTTTTTTGGTAATGTAGAACGACCCATAATACAAGGATTGAATCCTAGTTTTGATCTCGATCACAGAAATAATAATAAAAAAAAGAGAGGACAATCCCAGTAATGCAGAACATTTTCTGGGGGGAAATCTATTAATATACAAGAACTTTTTTTTTTTAATCCGTTCCATGTCAATCATCTTCTACAAATCGACCATACATAGTTCCAAGGAAGGATCTTCACCATGCCCTTACCTTCAGGACCTAACTGACACAAATCTTCCAACAAAAAATTGGTAAAATGTTACAAATCCATCAAGTCAAACCCTTTGACAATGAAACAAACAAACAACAGTTCAGCTTTGGGCTGAACCATGAAGACTGCCCTCCCATTCAACCACAAACAAACCAGTCCTCCGGTTGATCAAAGCCAAATACACATCAGCAATCTACAGAAGCAAGCATGGTTGTAGCGAAAACCCCAAAATCTGGAACTATTATAGCTACAAAAGACCGTGAAACTGGAATGTAAGTTAGACGGATTCACTTGGCACGCACAAAGGATTAGTAGGATCAGACTCCAACTTATCCAGCATTTCCATGTCAGTGGCTTCTCCACATGCTTCTGATGGGTTGTTCATGTCCATCGTTAGCCCCAGAGCAATCACACTGATCCCGGATTCTTCTCCATTAGTTATGCTCAAGCCAGAGGTCTCAATTTTACTGTCAGATAATGAGACACCAGAGTCCCCATTAATGGTAGAAATAGTTTTGGGACTCATATGATCTCTATGCAAAATACCAACCAGTTCTTCCCTGAACCCATTCTTTGCATTCTCATTCTCATCTAATTGCCTCAAGAAGCAATGTTCTATTTCACTCAATGATTCGACTTCATTTTCTTCTTCATCTTCGCTGCTATTGCTGTAATGTGGATTCTCATCATTGTCTGATGCTGGCCCTGTGGATTCACAGCTGGTATCCATCTCTCGTTGACTATCGAATTCCTCATCAGTTTGCCTATCAAATGAACGACTTGACATCAATGACATGGGTGAGTACCCTCCAGTTGTAGTCTCTTCACGCTCTCGTAAAGTCTTCACAATAAGGGTCTTGAGCAGGTTCATCACTTGAACAGCATGCATCAGAGCCGTCAATGGATCAGACATCTGATTGATCAAGAAAATGAGAACCCTCAATTAACACACGTTAAAAATATATTAGTGCCTAATCCTGGAAAGGTTTCTCCCATGACAGACTGCTATCCCATAGAAAGACGTCAACCATGAGACAAAAATAAAGATATTAAATTTCTACCAAGAGAGCAAGTGTCCCCAAGGTATTAAATTTCTACCATAGAACCACTTGTATATTTCTACCATAGAACCACTTGTATATTTCTTGACTATGCTCAGTCAGGGCATAGATGGTATGATGTGAAATCCAAAAATGTGGTATCAATTGGTTTTTAAATTTCCTTTTCAAGATTAAGTGATTTACCTGAGTCATGTTTGGAGCAAAAACCATGGCAATATTTCTGGCATTCATTTTGTTAGATTCCTCTTGCTCAACAACATCAGACATAAGGTCAATAGCCCAGTTGAGCAATGCGGTCTCAGTTGGCTGCAGCTGTTTCACAAGCTCAACAGACTCATCCTCTGTGTTACACTGTAAAACCTGTTCTGGGGAAAGCCCATCCAGCACACCTGAAGGAAGCTCTCGGAACCAGGCTTTGATTAGACCTGCCAAACAGTGGACATCAATGTCTTGAGGCACAATGCCTCGGTTCAACTGGTCCCTGACATGCTCTTCTTGGCTGTTCTCCGGGTTTATGCGGAAAATTCCTTCAGCCTACAAAAACACTCAAAGAAATTCAGTTAGGCCACTCGTTATAATTAAAAAAAAAAAAAAACTGTGTAGGTGTATATGGAATGATATTATTGCCAAACGCACCTTTAGACCTCCTTGTGTATATAACCTCTCTTGCATTAGCAAGAGAATTGTTGGGATACTATTGCCTCTTGAATCATAGGAGCACTGCATTGATTCCGCTGAGACACCAAAAACACTAACACTGCAAATTTGAGTATCACAAAGTCAGCACTATTCTTACAAGTTAAGAGTGAAATATAAATTTGAAAAAAAAAGTCCAAGGCCAGCTTATCAAGGATGACAGAAAAGAAACTCTAACAAGCATAATTGCGGAATGTCACATAGCATATCTAACAATTCTTCTCCAGGATCTGCTTTTCTAACAGTACTCACTCTGTTTATCGAATTAATTCAAAAAGAGGGCGGGTCTTGACACAACAATAAGGTTGCTTCATTGTATAAGGTAAGGCTTAGCACAACTAACCCTCTCCAGACTCTGCAATGACCCCCAATGGCAGGAGCTTCATTGGGTACGCCCTTTTTAGGATCCCATCAAGTAAAGATTAAAAAGCCCATTTTCCATATTCCCTTGTAAGAAATTTGTGAAAATAACTGAGAATGAGCATTTTGTGTGCCATGATTTGACTAAAGTTTGTCATATTAACAGGTAGTTTTAGAGAGCTAAGCTGAAGTTTTGTTTTCCCAAAATTCTCAACTAGAAGTCTTAACAGTTTTGAATCACTCACTGCAATTTCGTTACCCCTTTTTTTCTAGCTATTCACATCGCTCCACAACCTCAAATCTGCCATTCATCTAGAAACTCATCTGGGTTTAAATTGCGACCAATATACATGTGTGAAGATGGGCTCGTTCAATGTTCGAGTTTTAACTCAGCAGAACATGGAGCACACCTCTCTCTCTCTCTACACATATGACATCGACAACAAAAAATTGAGATCTGAGCAAATTTGAAGGAAAACCCAGGTCAAGATTTATAAATTAGGGAAACCCAAGAGAGAAGAAGAGGAGATTCAAAAGCACCTGGCACTGGGGACTCTACAGGGGATTTCGACTTCGAATTCAACAGGAAGACCCAGAAACCCATGAAAACGATCGAATGTGACGTGGGCTACGTGTTGAACGTTGGTGGGCCACCCGATTTCCATTTGATGAACAGTTGACATTACTTCTTCCCTTCGATCTACACGGCAAGAGACCATGGATTTTCTCAGAGCTGCCAAGAGAATCGCCACCAGAGAGAGCTGGTTTTCCTCCTCATCTCCTCCTTTTGCCGCTTTCCCATTTCCTACTCCACCACCACAGCCACCTCCCCTTGTTATCATCACCACCCCTGTCATCCCTCTCTTTTTCTCTCTAGATTTTCTCTATCTGTTGTAATGGATATAGAGAGAGCGAAGTGAGTCTGAAAGAGCGAGTTGTTTTATTATGTGAAGCATTGATTTGAGTGGTTTGAACTTCGATGTTCCGGAGTTCAAACGGCCACTCGTTTCAAATTTTTGTCTACTCACTTTATCCGTTACATGACCAAACAAGCCTCACCTTTTACGAAGAACTACCAAAATGCCATTCCACCTAATTTGTGATAATTATGCCTTTTTGGTGCGTTGTTTACCAGTTTTTTACCTTTACTTACTATCCACTCATCCGTCTGTTTAATTGCCTCTCTGTCTTTTCCTGTTTTATTGTCTTTGCTGTCAAGTTTTCAAGTAAAATAGAAGATTAAAAAACCAGCAATCATGATATTTTTTTATCCATTTTTTTATTTTTTCTATATATTAAACGAGAAAATAAATTAGACTCAAGTATGGTTAGAAAGTACCTATCTCAAATATGATAGGGGAGTCGAGACTTACCATTCTTATAGTGATTATGTTTTTCTTTTCTCTAGTAAGAATATTATTTGTACTTAACATATTGACACAATTTACTGATTTGATTGATCGCAACTGTTGAATAAGTAATGAGTTCTAATAAATATTGAAACTCACAATTACATTACAGTGATTGTTTAAATCAGCAAATCAAATCAACAGTTTAAATCCAAGTAACATTGTTTTAACTTGCTACTTCGATTACTATTTACAAAAAATTACTATAATTACTAAAAAATAGATTTTATTTTTACAAGAAGATCCTAATATGTTGGGAGGGCAAATCTGGCCAGGAAGCCCTAATATTTGAAATGGTGAAGACCGTTGGACCATGGTGAATAATTGGTGATTGCCATTGGGCCCACTCCAATGTGGGACAACTTCGAGGAGGGGTTGTGACTTGTGTCCACATCTGGAAGGATTTTAGCCTTTTGTTTTCGGGAAACTCTACGGAAATTAACGAGGTACCATACTGTCATTTCCTATTTTTTTTGGTAAAATTATATTTTATAAGACAGAAGTTACGACTGTTCAAAGAAATTATGATCAAATACACGTGATCAATCGTGAACCTTTTTGAGCAATTGTAACATCTTATTTTTGAGTTATAAATTAATTTTAAAAAATTATAATTTCGGTATCAATTTCAATCTATCATGATCGATAATCATATTTAAAAATTATAATTTATATCTCAAAAAAATTATAATTTAACCTTAAATAATTACAAATTTCGATACAATACCTCTTTCGTTACCGTAACTTTGCCCTTTATTTTCTTCTCTTTTTCCCTTTACAAAAATTTGTGTTTTGTACCGATAAATTTTTAGTTCAATGATACTCCTTATCTTGTGAAAATTTTGTTTTCTCGAGATTAAGGGTTCAAATCTATATTCCCTCCTTCCCTCCAAAGAAAAAAATAAAAAAATCTGTGCTTTGTCGTGTTTTACTTGAATTCCGTAGTGCCGGCGCGCCGTTGTTGAGTGTTGACATGAGAGAGACATCGCCGGCGGCATTTCCGATGATATTCGACAACTGTTGCGTGGTCCAAAACAGAGACACCAATAGGATCAAAATTCCCTAGAATGATTTCTAAAACAGTGCCCATCAAAATAAACAAAAAACACTGTGAATCAGTTTAGTAACAAACAACACCTTATTTCGATTCCCTTTGCTCAATGATGCCCCCAATGTTTTTGTTGGTTACAATTTGTTTTTGGGATTAATAGTGTTTTTGGTTCTTAAAGTATGTATTTTTCGTTAATGTAGTTCTTTATATATCAATTTGGTCCCTAAAATACTCAAAAACTTTACGGTCTGTAAGACTGTTAAACAAGCCAAGTTTGAACACTTTTTAAAACTCGTTTATGTGAAAATTCAGCTCGATTTAGGCTCGAATTCAGCTCAATTAACACCTCTAACAGCCTGTCTATGTGGAGACCAAAATAACACAAATTAAATACTTTATGAACCATTTTTTTTTTGTTTAATGGTAAGGGATATTCCGGCCAACTTACGTACACATTGATTAATCCCTTCTCCGATTCGATCAAATACAGGTCATCCACGTAAAGACTAGAGTATTCTTAATTGATAAATTCTTCATGACCTGATCCCAATAAATTGTCACTCGCCTTATTTGGTACCATAACACGTGATGTCACAGATTTAAATCATAAAAATAATTTTTCATATGCATATAGGAATATAGACTTTTAATCCAACTCAAATTTGAGGGAGAGAGAGAGATGTATATTGAATTATCGTTTTAATCTATAATTATATGTAAATGGAGCCATTATGGTACCTCCTTGAGTGTTGTATCAAAAGTTATAATATATAAAGGTCAAATTGTAATCTTTTGAGAGTCTATATTGCTATTCAAAAAATTATGATCGGTGATAAAATATTGTGATGGATCTCAAAATTATAATATTTAAAGTTCAAGTTAAAACTAGTTGAGGTTGGTAAAGTACAAAATTGACTTATGTAAGATCAACAGTCGAGTGAATAATACAAGAGAATTAATGAAAAAAAGGTAAATGTTGGGTTCAACAAATAGGTATATAATAGTTCAGTTAGAGTGACATACTCCACTCCGAAAAATGACAACGGTGACCGAAGAATTTTTATTAATAAAATAAGATGAGAGAGAGAGAGCAAATGTTAGTTCCGAGATAGATATGACAGCTAAGAGAGAAATAACTATGTGAGTGGAATGTAGAGAGATGCCCTCTCATGTAACGAGCTTTCAATTTATAGGCATAGAACCTTAGTTGAGACTGTGTTGTGAGGGTAAAGACACTAATACTTCGAGAAGGATAGCTATAAAAAGTAAGTATAATTAAAAATTGTCTTGATCTTCAAAAGTGGGTATTCTAATGATTGCTCCCCATGTGCTTTAATTTCTTGAACTTCCTTGGACTTTTGCTTGGGTTGAACTCATGAATTGGACTTGACATGTATTTTAACTGTTTTTGGCTCACTTAATTTATTGGGACTGACCTAGTTGAATCTGGGCTCGTAAGAGGTTATTTGATATTATTGTGATTGATGATGAAATATTTTGGTTGATCATTGGTGGGGTAACTTAACCTCTCAACAAGATTAATTTTGTTAGGGTATCTAAAAATTTTTCAAATATACTTTTCGATATCATAGGAGTTTTCACATGTGAAAAGCACGAATTAAGATCTTTTTTGATATATTTTTTTTCAATTTTACTCAAATGTTAGTGACTGTATAAATTAAGAATGTGATTATATACTATAATCACATTGTAATTTTTATCATAGGAGGGCAGTTATGTCCTTTCAGGCAAGGCATGCAGACACGAAGACACGTGGCGGGCCCTCGTAAGAAATCGAGAGAAAGAGCGGTCCAGATTGAATGATGTCTGATGCCCCATGTGATTCTAATTTTTCTCTTTTTGTTAGTATTATGGTGGTAGACAAGAACAATGGGAATACTCCAAAGTCCAAACAGACCAGATCACCATGTGGGTCCCTCACCCTCTGTTTTGATTTCCCTCCGAAAGCTACTATTCGAATTTCAAATGTGTTTGTTTCCTTCCTTTACATGGACGCTACATGACATTCTTGAATATGATATTTTTTACCTCATTCTTTGAGATTGAAAATTTGAGCGTTAGGGTTTATATTGAAGTTATGTGTAGGGGTGTTCAAATTTTTGACCTGTTGCAAGTTCCTATCCTACCCGACCCTACTGAACGACTAGCCGCAAAAATCGGATAGCAATGCGGAAGAGTTTTTGGTCTTTCGACAATTTTCGGGTAGGAATGCGAAATAATCATCAATTTTCGCATTCCTATCCTACCGTACCCGCAATAATTTTTTAATATATATATAAACTAAAAAAATCCTAATCTACGGAGTCCCAAGAGCGTCTGCGCCTCACATCTCACTCGGTCACTCCACTACTCCTCCTTCATCGTTCCAGACTTTCCACTCAGGTTCTCTCTCTCTCTGGTGTGGTCTGGCTTGGAAGGTCTGATTGCAGACCTTCATCTACAGTAACAAATCAGTGCCGCTGTGCGCGATCAGGTCATGAGTTGCAGATCAATGTGTGATCTGAGTTGCAGATCCTATGTTGCGGATCCATGGATTTTTATCCTATGTTGTAGATCGTGATGGCCTGGTCTTTGTTCCTATGTTGCAGATCTGGCTATTGCCATTTTGTTTGTGTATACTTATGAGCGAACCTAAATATGGCCTCTAGTTGGATGTTGTTTGCATATGTCTTTCTTTTTGAAGGACAGACACCATCTCTCTCTCTCAAATATATTTCTTTTTGGATGGTACTGGTATGGTGGGTGGTGTTTTGTTGGAATGGCCTTAGAATCAAGGCTAGTGATGATGCACAAAACTAAATAAATGGGTTGTTTGTGCCAGCAGTAACTTTAATTTTGGTTTGTTATTCATCGCAATATAGACTACTGTGAGAAACTATGAGAAATCGACTACTTTTATTCATCGCAATATAGACTATTAATGTTCATACTTTCATGTATTTTATTATAATTTTTGTTGTAGTTGTTTTAGATTTTAGTGTTAATTGATTTATTGTGTTGTTAAATTGGTGCATGTTATTTAATTAAATTATTAAAATAATCTAAAAATTAATAGTTACAAAAATATTTACCCGACTTTCTACCCGATTAATCGGGTAGGAAGTTTGGTAGGAATATCACACTTGTCGGGTAGGGTAGGCCAAGAAAAAACTCTTTCGCAAAGTATCGGGTAGGAAGACGGAAAAAAATATTTTCTACCCGTAAGATAGGATGAACACACCTAGTTATGTGATTGACCACTATGCTAATTTAGTTAAATTCATTTTTAAGAGGTATAATGGGTGCGATCAAGGGCATCATAGACTTATCAGGGTGATTTTTGAGCGCTCTTCTTTACCCTCACCTTTTTTTTTTACCAACAAAATAAACAAAAAAAGATTTGATATTTTATCTCTCATTTCATTTCCTCTTCGAACAATCCTTCTCGCTTTGATCGGATCATGTCGAACCCAATACTTAATATAACATTCTTAAAGACTAAAGT